TTAGGAGTGTTATCAGTAATAAAGTGTATAATTCTATTCTCGTTTGATAAAATTTTCTTAGTGCTTATGTATCTTTTTTCTTATTATTAGGGTAATATGTTTTTTGTATTGTTGTCTATTAAAATAATAAATTAATTATAAGCAGATTTATTTTATTTTTGTAAAAGAGATTTTTAATTAAAACATCTATTTAACACATAAACTGATTTCAATAGATGTAGCCTTAAAATTAACTATTTCTATTTTTATTTAAAGTATATATTCCTTAAAAATTTTTAGAGATCTCTACATTCTTACGTACATAACAAATTGTTACATGTCCCTATATTCATTCTTCTCAGAATTATTAGTTTTATTTGGTGAATAATTAAATTATCAAAATGGAAAATGTGATAAAGAAAACAATAATATAATTTTAAGTGATCAAAAAAACTTATGCAAACTTTTTATTTAAGACTAAGAATGCATTAAATATGCACGGAACACATATGTCATATAAAATAATAATATACAAGGGTAATTTATAACTTCTCATTACATTATTTTAATATTTCACTTCAAACAATTGTGTTCAATTAAATAGACAAAAATCATTACGAATTTTTGACATTCTTTGTAAGAAAATATTGCCCTTTTGTTTGAAAAATAATGGCTTATTAGCCTTTTCGTCGTTATAACATTTATTGCTACAACAGACGTGTTAATATAGCCTTATAAAGAAAAAATAGACAATATCTGGGTAAGTTTACCATAAAAAAATTAAAAAATGTAGATGTATATGTTAAAAACTATTTCAATAACATAATACACATACATAGTGAGGAATTATTTTTATGCTTTTTTGAGCAGAATTAATACTTTTTTTTTTTGTGTTTATAAATAACAAAATAGAAATAAAAGTTCAACTTAATTTTACACACATATTGTGATAACAACATTCTAATTCATATAAGTATTCATTATGGGCATAATTTGGTTCTAAAAAAATTTGTGAAATGTATGGTTGGTTATATATTCATGCAGCTAAGACAATTAAAAAGATCCATGAATCTTATATTTTATGTTTTAATAAACATAACAATTTTGCATGTTCTATTTCAATGAAACATTAATAAAAGTTAAGAACGCATTTTTTAATTTTTTTTTAAAAAAAAATATATATAAACCTTCATGTTTATTTGAAAAAGAAATAAATGAAATATACAAAAAGAGTAAATTTATAGATACTTTTATATAAATACAGGAAATTAACTTTCCTTTTTCAATTGCATTAGATGTGAGATTTTGTATCATTGTTGTTTGTAATTTATTTTTTTTTTTAAATGATTGATCACATACGTTTATATTATATGTACATGGAAAAATAATAACCTTAACATGTTTATTTATTACATGTTAAAATATGAATAATGTAACAAAATATTTTTTTCTGCAGCATAAAAATTTAAATATTTCGAAATTCTACACTTTACTATGATAAGCAATGGTATATAATAGCATACAAAATTTATAATATTTTATTACAGACTATATATTTATTATACACTAAATTAAATCAAGATATTACAAATTATGTATATGAATTCACACCACTTTAGTTTTATTGATATTATCAATTTTTAAAATGTGTATTTTTAAAAATGCAAAAGTAAAAAATTGATATAGATAACTACTAAAAAATAAGTAAGAGAATAATGAAATAAATTTTACTTTTTTAGTAGACAATCAAGATATTATCTATCTATTATATGCAATAAATTATGAAGTTGTATCTCGATAATTGATATATAAGACATAACTAACACTGATATGAACACGTCACAAAAAGTATTGTGTGAAAAAAAGTATTATTTTATTTAAAACTCATTTTTAATAGGTTTGTGTGATATACTTTTAAATTGATATCCTTCGGAACATGAATTTTACTTATACGTTTGTAAATAATTGAAAGTGTTCACGTTTCATGAGGGTAACAGAATCGTAGAACACTTCGATGTTAAACAAATAGGTTTTAATATATAGGTAATTTCTCGAATTTTGTAATTAATTTATTTTCATTAGCTAAAAGAGGATACCATCGTTAAATAGGATTATTTGTTGTGTGTGCACTTTTTACATGGAAATAAAAAGTTTTGAGAAAAATTTCTATAAATTTATGAGTAGAAAATGACATTCTTTTTATGAATAATTTAATTTTATATAACATTACTTGTATTTTCCGCGTATTTAAATAAGTGAAATATTTCTATATTTACCTATAACAAATATAATAAATTTGATATAACTTTTATTAAAAATACTAATAATGGATACTGTAACAGGTTAGAAAGCTTTAACGAAGAAGATATAACCCTTTGTAAAAATATTGCAAACAATTTTAAAAAATTGTTTATCAAAAATGAAAATGAGCGATTATATGTATTCTATTACTTTTCTCACTGTTTCCATAATAACATAGTGAAGAAGGACTAAAATGTATGTGATCTATATTATAGGCATTTCAGGGGTAAAATAAGTGACCTTGTAGAACTATGAATTAAAATACAATATAAATTGGGAATATATATATGTTATAAATGAATAACCCATAAAATTGGGAATAATAGAAATATTTACATGATGCTTTTTAATATTATAAATATATGCATAGTAATGATTGTGATAAAACTGACAAGAAAATGTATTTAAAAAACTTATATTAATCCGATTTATGTGAATTATCAGTATACATTTTGAACTTGTGACTATGTATCTATTGAATTATATTTCGAACTTTACTATTTGTGAAACATGTGAAAGAAGTACTATTTGTAGCGTTTTATTGTCATTTAATAAGTTATTTTTAGATGAAGTTAAAGAATCTAAGGACGTAGGATAAGAAAGACGTGAATTAGGTTGAATTGTACCTCAAAAATATAGCAGCAACATGAGAATAATAAAGCTACTCATAGTATATTCTACATCAAACATAATGTAGCATGTGAAATAATTTAACTTTTTCCCAATATTATAGAAGCAAATTATATTATATAAAATTAATATCTTTTTAATGGTTTTATCGTAGATTATTTTACATTAGGAATAGTGATGTTGTTGGAGATTTATTATACGTATATACAACTTATAATTAAAAATATAGATATTTTATATTGAAATTTATAATTTTTACGCGTATATATTTATTTAATAATAATATTCACTCCTATATATATATGAATATTTTAGTTTATCTGGATCAATGTCATATATGAGAGAATTAACAAAAAAAATTAACCCCAATACAAAATGATATAATCGAAGTGGAAATAGAATCATATATGTCATAATCTAAATTTATATATTACGACATAATACAATTATATTTGATATATACTTCTGCACAAAACTTTTTTCTGTAACTAAGCATTAATAAAATATATTATACGAAATTTTTATGAAGTTAAATGTCACTACAGTTGTGTGATAATGGTCAATGAGACAAAAATATAGAGAAATAATGAAATAATGGTATTATAGAAATCATAATTTAAGTATTATACTGCATGGAAATAGATATTTATTTGGATGAACAGCGGTGAATGTATAATACGAAGGAAAGAATTGTTTTAATTAATATAATTATGGCTGAAATTATATTCATGAAAATTCGTGCAATATAAGAATTATGAGAACATGTTTTTATGTAATATAAATCATTAAAACTCAAAATGTGTGTTTTAGTTTAAAAAAAATGATATTATAAAACTGCAAATGGAAGAGGCACTGTTTAGGCAAATAGAAGTAAAAATAGTACTGTTTCGTAACAAAGTAATACATTATTATAATTATATAACAGGAATTTATGATAAATTTAATCTAATTGAAAAAAAAGAAACAAAATATAAATACATCATAACCAGTATATATCGATTGATGTAATGATGCTTTCACAAAAAATATTGATAATCAAATGAATTATAATATATATAGTCTAATTAGGGAATGTTTTTTTAAGCAAATTTAATGCATATAAGGGAAAAATATAAGGAATAGTACCATATTCAGTTTCTATATTTTGTAATTTTATTGGAAATAATGTAAAACTATAAGAAAATGACTATGTCACGAATTTGTGATATATATGATTCATTAATTTAATAAATATATACAATTTTATTTTACACTTAAGTATACCTTCAAAAAAATTAATTTATCTTTTTTATTATAAATTTTTCATTGATGATGAGGATACAATGAATTTCATTATAATATTATAAAAACTATGAAGATATATTAAAATGCACATAAAATAATAAATTGGATCAAATTAATTTAATATGATGAAAAGTGTATATGAAAATAATAAATTATTTTTTGTAATTTCTTTTCTTTTTTATACAAATATTCTTATATACAAGAATGCGTCACATATTTATATCAAATATAAAGTGGAAATTGATATCCTTAACATGGAAAAATATTACAAAAGAAATAAAGAGGTCTAAAAATCAAAATTAGTTATTAGTATATGAATAGAAAAACTGGGAATTGCATTTTAATAAAATTATATTATTATATAGCTTAATATATTTAGAACGCGTGTATAAATATTTTATTTGAATTATTATCAAAATTTGTACGTTTGATATGCATTACTGTATTATTCATTTAATAAATCATTATTCTATTTATAAAATACTAAATTATAACTTTAAATCATTTTACATATGCAAAACACGGAGTACTAAACAATTAATAAATATATTAACAATATTTTTTATTTACTATTTATAAGTATGCGCGGTAATATTTTAATACTTATTAGATTATTATTTTGTAATATTATTTATTAAATGGATAATAAGGTACGTGAAATTTTTTTTTTATTTTACTGCAAAAACTATTTTCTTTTTAAGGAAATTCTTTAGAGAAGCATTCATAATGAAGATTACTCAAAGTATTTTATAAAATTTTTAAAAGGTATTATTCTTCGAGATCTATATTCAAAAGTAAAATTAGAATTAATTGTATAGCATATCATACATACTACTGTTGAGAATGTTTATGGGTACTTCGGTTGGTTTCAGTACATTTCTTGTATTAGTAATATTATCAAGCTTTATTCTTATCCTTTTTATTTTATGGCGTAATAAAGAACCATACGGAGTATACTAGTATATATAATGAAAATTAGGAATTACTTATGTAATTTTAATCTGAGAAGTGTTATGTTTCAATCTAGTCAGATATATAATATAATATCATCGATACATACAAAAAACATCATAATTAACCATAAACAGAACTAAAAAAAAGAACAACAGTAATGACATTATAATAAATGTAGTTATAATAGTAGTTACAATATTAGATCGAGAAGAGCGTGGTATTTCTTGTGTATTATTTTCTTCAGGGGATGATATTTGTGAATTAGCTTGCGGAAAAACTTTATGTACCACTGGTTTTTGATTTTCATCTATAATTTTTATTAAGGAATCGCAATATTTTGTGTAATTATCCGATACATTAACTTTATTTATTTTTTTTAAGCATTTATAGGAATTATATATAGCTCTAAGATCTTCTAATTCTTCATATGTTGCTTTTTTACTATAATCAGTACAAAATGTTGGTGTACCTAGTGCGGTGGGATGATACGACAACATATCATTGTAAATATCATTTGTATAATTACAATAATTGTATTTCTTAAGAAGATAATATAACCAATAATGAAAGAATCTACACCCTGCTTTCTTATATTTGCTATATCCGCCCTTAATGTTTATATCAAACAAATATGAAAGAGCTTGTGGGCACATATCATTAATAAAATTGGTTTTAACTTCATCATTAAAATTAAATTTTTTCGCAATTCTAAAGCAAAAAGTATGATATATTTTTCTATCAGCAATATTATGAATCTCTTGTATTTTATTTTCACAAAAGGGGAAGTCATTTAAGAATCCATACTAATGATAAAAGAAAAAATAGTTACATGAAAAAAAATATAAATTGTTAAAAAAAAAATTATTATGACTCTGAAAAATGCAATATAAATAATTATATTATCCTGTTATTAATATTATTATATTTCAAGCTTACAAGGTCATCTTCCATTTCATACAAGATTATGTTATACTGTAATAGTATCAAATAAATTAACGAAATTTGTGAACATACAAAAAATAGGTTTTTAAAAATAAAAGCACATTGCACGAATAACATTCATGTTCCAAAATCTTAAATTTATATATCTAATGAGAAAATACACTTCTTTTGCTTCAAAATTAACTATTATTATTAAAAAAATAATATAAATTATTAGTGGAATGAGGTATGAATACTTATACATTTTAATGAAAAAATAAAAAAACATAAATATATTATTTAGTATAAAAAATAAAAATAATATCCACTGCTAAAATATAAGAATAAGATTGATCTTCTATATAATAATTATATAGTATTAACAATATTTTCAATAAAGAAAAAGACACAACAAAAATATATTCAACTCTTTTTCGTATTCATATAACTGTACGTTTATTTTGCTATAATGTAGTTTTCATTGTGATATATATAATTAATAGTAATAGATATATAACATTAGAATATATAAGATTTAGTGATCAATGATTATTAATTTTATAATTCATGCATAATATAATACATAAACATGTTAATAAAAATGGGCACAATTTACAGATTTACTCAACATATTATAAGGAATATATGAGGATGATTTAATGTTTTATTACTATTACTTCAAAAATTCATAAAAAAATAATATAATATATATGGTGTGGTTAGCTATAATATATAGCAAAATTTAATTCTGAAGCAATTGAAAATTTTATATCTAAGCGTACATATTAATATGATATATAAACTAAAATTTCTCATTATATATTTAACAACTGGGGTATACATTTTAGGTTGTATAAGTTATTAATTGCAATACGAAATAAGATATAATTTAATTCATATATGTTTAAACATATTACATGTATCATATAGGAATATGAGGAAGAAAATGTAATATGTTTTCATATATCTTAACATTTTATATTGTCATAACATAAATCTTATATTAATATAGTATGTATAATTATATTTACACATATATTATTATATATTTATATATATTATTTTTATATTTATTCTACAATAAATGGCCATTTATGAACAATTTTTATAAAAAAATATTTATTAATTTATATAAATCTATAATATTATGGGGATTAATAATATTATCATATCTTAAAATATTGTCGTATTTTAATAGCTATTATGAAAGCAGCAAATTTTATAAATCCATAGAATAATAATAATAGATTATACCATGGGTTTAGTATCCAATATTTTATGGATTGAAGTTTAGGTTTTTTGCTTTTTAGTTTCAATTTTCATGGGCCATTTATAAAGGGATATATAACATCGTTAATTATATCATTTTATATATATATAACTTATTATGTGTCAATGAATTCCACTTTTTTATTATTTGGCGTGATATTACTCAATAGAAATTATCAGTTTAATCGGTTCTTAATACCATTTATTGCAAAATATTTTTTATCATATCATGTAATACTTAATGTCGAGCTCAATAAAAATTTTGGCTTATAAATCGATATTTAAAAATTTTTTTTATTAAAATTTTACCTTTATATTCTCGTATTTTATATTATGAATAAATATTTAATAATACATATACTCTGTTATAAGTGTTATACCAATCATTTTTTTTTATATGTCCTTTAATACATATATATATTAATTTTTTTTTTATATAATGAATATTAATTTTTTATATTTAATTTTTGAGTTACATATTTTCATTGTACTAAATAAAAAATACATATAATAATTATATAAAATGGTTCGAAAAATATAATGTGAGTTATTGTTTCATATGCTTTATATTTCTATGTTTTCTTGTGTCATTTTTATAGGATTTTAATTAAATTAATAAAATCATATACAAATTGCTGTTTTTTTTATCAAAAAACACAATACTAATAAAATATAAACCAAAAATGATGAACTATATATATATATATATAATACATAAACTAAAATTATTACTCTTTCAATTATAATACACATTATTTATTAATTAATAGAGCTTTTATTCAGAATATTATACATTTATGCAATAAATCACAAATATAACACTTTTATTTAATAACATTTTTATGTTTCAAATTTTATGATAAATAGAAAAGAAAAAACAAAGAGAATATTCATTTTAATATAATAATTTTAAATATATATTTGATAGGAAAGAAATCAAAAATATTTATTATTTCATGAATAAGTAACAAAAAAGCAGGTACAAACAAAATGTATACCTAATATAGGTATGAAGCACCAAAAACATACAGTTATAAGGAAGAACAAATAATATATATGTTTTTCAAATAATAGTTATAGCTTTAAAAATATTTTAATGTAGAAGTATATTAAATCAAATTATTTGCATTTACACTATTTATTTATTCATTCTATTGTAAGTGATTACCATTATGCTTTTATTATTCATATTACTTTTGATATGCCATGATTTTAATAAAACGCTCGATAAAAACCTAATATATATATAGAATATTATATATTTTGTGCCCTTAAACATAATTCCAATACATAAATATTCATTATATTATATTAATGCAATTTTAAAGGACACACTTTCTTATTTCGTACATTATAAATTATTATATTAAGTTATATCATATCTAATAGAATTGTTTATATTCAATCAATTTTTCACGTACAATGATTATGATTACTTTTATATATTTTTCTTGTGTAATATATCCAAATAATATGTTACATGCTTAAACTATAAATATTAGTGTAATTATTATAGGTATCATTGGGAATATGCATATTTATTGTTTTCAATTTACAATACAAAAAAGAAAAAGGAAAAGATTCTGTTTAATTCTTATATTATTCTATAAAAATATATCTTTAAATAAATTATATTTATATATATACTTTTATAGTATTGTTTTTATAATAGCATTAAAAAAATTCTTATTGATATGAATTTTCTATTAAATGATAATATGTTTGAAATTATATGCAAGTATTATTTTGTATTTAATAAATACTTATTAATATAATTAAATAATAAAACAAAGTGTTCATGGTTTATGTTTAAAGGTTTAGCAGAATTAGATTTTGTTATGAAAATTTATATATTTAAAAATATAATTATTTCATTGAGATCACTATTAAAATGTCTAAGTGATAAATTTTAGTTTTAATAAGTATTCAATATTATTATGTATGTACGGAGATGGAATGCGTGAAAATTTCAATCACAGTGAAATCATTATTCGTTATCACACTGTAGGAGATATATTGCATAATGAGTAAAAAAAACGTAAATTCTATAGGATTGAATATATCTAATTTAGTATATGTGACAATTTACATGTAAATATAATGAACGGAATGAAGAAATAGTGATATTTTTAAGGTAAAATATATATTTGTTGGAATAATTTATCCTTATTATTTATTTCATTTAACTTTTCATAAGGTAATCTCTAAATATTTATGAATTTATAAGGAATGTACATATTTTAAGAATGACTATGTATTATACTAAAAAATTATATAATAAAGTTATATTTTGCTGGACAATAATTTATTTTTATTCTGTTTTCTTTCATATTCAAAATGTATGTAGCATATATTTTAAGATACATTCACATGTGTATATTAAATATAGAGATATTGTGTTTGTACAATAATATATCATTAAAAGTAAAAATGTGTGATGTAAATTTGTATACATATTGTTATTATAAATATGTGTGGAATATGTTAGATTTGTGTTGCGATGTCTATTTAAGAGGAATTAAATCATGAAGGTTTTTACTATTATATATATTTTTAATGAATATTATAATATTAGTTTCTTCAAAAAATTATTTTCCAAATTGATACAAATAAATTTTAATTATGGTTGAATATATGATTACGATAATCTTTCGAAACTACACTGTATATCATGTATAACACATGTTAATAATAAAATTAAAAAGAATAATAAAAACATCTGGACCTGATATTTATTTCTTTAAAAGAAAAAACTTCTTAAGGTAATCTGATCAGTGGCATCTAAAGTAAAATATGAAAATTGCATAACAACGTATAATATTGTAATAATTAAAAGTGGTGTAAGAAATATTCAATTAAATCTATTTCTTGTGTATAAATTATATGAGGATATAATATTCCATAAATATTATAATTACAATTAATATTCATTTATATTATAGTAATCACACGATTTAAATAAAATAGTGAGATATCACATTATCTAATATTGAAGAAAATTATATAATTCTTCTATTATTATAATTTATGTATTTTAGGATACTATATAACAAATGAGATGTATTTTTTTTATTTTTAAATTCATTATATATGCTTTTGTTTTTATGCAATTAAAATATTATATGCATAAAATTCCGAATCCTTGAATTAGTAATGTTATAACTTGCTCTTATTTATATTTTATCTATTTATTTATGTCTAATAACAGCATAACTTAGTTTAATTAAATATATATGTTATTATTTAAATGTTATTGTGTTTATTATATAGGATGGGTGATTCAAAATATAAATATACATAATATTTTCATTACACATATTTTATGGGTTCTAATAAATTGTGTTCCTTTAAATATTACTCCATTAGATATTTATCCTTTTTATTATTAAATATATAAATTAACTTCTTGTTTTTGTTATATATAAAATATTATTTTTATTTTTCACAATTTAATAATTTACGAACCTTGTCAATGTATTAAATTTTAACATATATAATTATTTTGGTATAATTATAATATACAGAA